AGAATTCAAGATTGTTTTGCTCCAGGAATAAAAGTGTAGTCTTTACATGTAGGGTGGGATTTTCAAAGGAACTTTAGACCTGATTTTGAAAGGTATTTAGCTCTGTCTTAGTGCTTTTGAAAATCCCACTAGGTAAGTTTCTGCACCTTTAAGCACCAAGCTACCTTAAAAAATTCAGACCCCTGATCATTATCTCTCCTTTCTTTTACCCAACCTTGTAAGCTCATTGTGGAAATATATAAGCCCAAGCCCAAAAATCTGTCTTCCCTATCAGTGCTCACAGTAAACAAACAAGGTTAATAGTGTTTGACTAATGCAACCAAAATAAAAGTTATACAACTCCAAAACAAGTGGGGTTTACAAGCCTGCTTTAGTCTGGCTTTTTTTAAATGTGCAACTTCCGTATGATGAGATCCTCATTTAAAGTTTCACACCTATGTACTATACTCAACCCCTCAACAGTGAAGGATGGACCTGGTAAGCTGCTGCCCCCATTAAACAGAAGCTACTGGCACTGGGAGAGAAAGAATCAACAGGGAAATATTATTCTTGCTCTCATTAAAGTAAACCTGTGTTTGGACTACTTGCATAAACTGAGCAAACCAGTTCTTGGCTAGCAATTTATCTGATGTGCTGATGCTGGTTCTTGCCAGCTTTCAGTTTCTAATAACACAGGAATTCCTTGACTAAATCAGACCAGTCATCCATTTACACTGTTAACCTGTCTGTCAGTGACTAGTTCTGACAGCTCTTAAGAAAGAGGCATAAAACCTTCAGGTGGGCGGTTATGGCATAACTCAGCTCCTAGGAGGTCAGGAAGAAAACTTTCCTTATAGTAAGAAGCTGGTTTGTAGGCCCTTCCAAAATGCCGGAGTTTCTATTTTTTTTTAAATTCTTGTTGCTATGACTCTAATAATCCCCTTATTCAGAAATCAGCAGCTTTCTTACTTATGAGATGTAAGACAGCGCTTGGAAGAAGAAAGGATTATTCTATGCACAACCAGAAAGGTAAATATTTTCTAGAGGAGGAAAATATGCAATGCAATGTGTTCTCACATCTTTTGTTTCTGTTGAACAACAAGAGCATTTTAGGAGCCTACTGTTGACATAAAAGAACAGACTTTTTTAAAGTGTTTTTTTTTTTAAACGACTTCCCCCAAGTCTCTTAACCAGAGACCTCAATGCAGTGTTTCATCTATATAACTTAAAAGGGCTAATGTAAAGGAAGTCTCCTGACCAGGACTTGCCTCCCAGTTTGAGCCTTGAAGCCACCCTACAGTTTGTAGAAGTGCTCCAAAAATGGGAGCCTTGCTCTCAGCTTGTAGCTGGCACCACAATAGTCCAGATTGCCCAGAAGTCACAGAAGAACCGTTTGCCTTCTTGTCTTTTAGTTGATGGGACACCTTTAAGGTTTCAATATATTCATAGGATCTGCTCTTCCACCCCAATGTGCTACACACACTACTTCACATGTAAGGGTTTCCAAAACAACTGTTCTTAACACACTGGCTCCAGGACGGGCTGCTGCAGCATAGCACATAGTCTGTGATCAGTCTTTCACTTCCTATGCTGCTTACAGCTACCAGGGGTGGGCAAAATGCGGCCCATGGGCCAGATGTAGCCTTCCAGATCATTCTATCTGGCCCACAGGGCCCCTAAAAAATGTAGAAAATTAGTATTTATCTGCTCCTGGCTGCCTGTCATGTGGCCCTCGATGGCTTGCCAAAACTCAGTAAGTGGCCCTCCGCCCAAAATAATTGCCTGCCCCTGGTTTGGACCCCGACTAAGAGGCATTTCTGATAACTGAAGCCCTCCTGCAACAATGCATCTGGAGTATCCCCCCAGGTCCATTATAGTCTCATAGGACCTTTCACCAAACAGCCTCCCTAGTGCCAGTTTTAAGTTGGCCCCTTGAGTGTCTGTTTAAAATGGCATTTGCTGAGCTATGAAACAAACAGTTCTTTAATAGGCAGACTGGGGAGCAGTGAACAATACACAGGACTTGCTGCAAGACCTCAGGGCGAGCCACTTCACTTCTCCGGGCCTTTCTTTACCAGTGGTCAAGCTTATTTATTTATCTAGACTTGCAGTCATTAGGCCAGAGACCATCTCTCCAGATGGGTATTCCTACAGCACCTTAGTGCAGCACAACAGGACCATGGCACACCTCTTTCAAGTCTAGGGTTGCCAACCCTCCAGGATTGCCCTGGAGTCTCCAGGAATTAGAGATAAATCTCCAGGAGCCTGCTGAGAGTCACCCAGGAGATAAATGACAGGGCATTCATTAAAATAAATATGAAATGTTGAATCTGATTTATACAGATGTCCAGTGGGTTTTTAAAATGTAATGGTAATGTGCATTTGCCTTCCTGATGTAAAGTCATTAATGGCATTACATCGTGTGATGAAACCTCCTGGAGTAGATTCAAACAGAGGTGGCAACTTTATTCATGTTACTAACTCCTAGTCTGGAAGAAGCGTAGTTTTCCAAGTGTGGCAGCTCTGCCTCTCACGATACCACTTCCTCATGCTGTACCAGAATGGTGTAGACACGCTATAGGCATTTGCCACACACTTGGCCAAAGGGCCCTAAACCTGGCTGGCACCTCTAGGTGTCACAGTAATTCAAATAATCAACACGGCAACCAGAATCAAAAGGAAAGCCTGTCCGACAGGGCCTACAGCTGGCAGGGGGTTCTGCTCAGCAAGCTGTGGAGTCGAGCCATGATAAAAAAAACAACTCGTTTCAGAATTTCCATCCGCAAACTCAGCCAAGTCCCACCTGTCTCTCTTCCTCGAGACGCAATTTCTCCTCTTCTTTCCGTCTTTCCTCCTCTCTCTTTGACTCGAGTTTTTTCCGCTCCTCACGCTCTGCTTCTTCAGCCTAAAAAAAAAAAAAAATAAAAAAAAAAAAAATAAAAGTAGGCAAGGCAACATTTATTCTTCCTCAATCTTTGGTTTCATACTTGAAGATCACCGGGTTTTTTTCACCAGCTTCCTGGACTCTTGTCCAGAAATGCATAACCGACATTTTTATAGAAAGGTGCTACCCTAGGTTTATTTTGTCATCATCATTGGGGTTTTTTGCATTGGCTTTCTAAAATTTTTTAATACTTCCATTTATTTGATAAATTATGGCCCTGGTAACGTCAAGTATTGTTTTCGTGGTCAAACGTTTCAGTTCCATGACACGTATATGCCAGTTTGTTATTGTAGTGATGCTATGGAAAGCTAATATAAACATTATTTCTCTGGTCATTTAAAATTTATTTAGAAAGGCATTAGACAAGGATTTTTAAACTTTGCTTATATGTGAGAATTTTGTGTTTTAAATGTAGGTTTCATTTTAGTTCAATTAATCTGGACTGAGGCCCTTACAAAAAACTATTAAATATAATTCCATTGTATGAAGTTACGTGGCTCTTAAAAATGGAAGGTCTCTCTCTTCTTAAGAAAGATGAAAATCCTATTATTAGAAAGATTAAATTTAAATCTGAAATGCAAAAAAACTCCCACTTGGTTAAACTACATAGTACATATAAATAGTTCCAAAGGGGAAAAAAAAGTTAAAAATGGATCATTTAGTATGCTATTTTATTTCAGTGTTTATTCCTTTTTCAGTCTTTGCTACATAAAAGACTTCAACTGAATTGGGTAGTTGATGTATCCTCACACAGAATTTGTAACTCTACCATTGAGAACCCCCCCCAGCTTATTTTGAAAAGGAATTAAATGAATTCTTAAAAAATTAATTAAATGAATAAAAATTAAATGCATTAAAAAGGGCCATTCCCTCTGCCCTTCCACAATGTTTTTCTCAAAAACGGTTTAAACAATTTTGCTCAAACTTTCCATAAAAAGATGCTTAAGGCTAAGCCTAAGCATGGAAAGTGTGTGACAGTTAAAATTATGAGCAAGTAAAAATAAGATTGTAATGGAAGCCTATATCTAAACATGAAGTATTTTCTCCTGGCTAATGCTACTAGTTCTCATCATTATAGTAAGCTGGGGGGAGATTGTCTCTCCCACACCCCCGATTTTGGCACCATTTAAATGTTCAAATTAGGGCGTACATGCAACATCCTTTGCTTGATGTTGACGCTCTGCAAGCAGGTCAGTTTTGCCCTGGTAGACTCGTGAGCTCTCTCATTTTGATCAAACCAGTTATTTTATCTGTTCTGTGCTTTGGCAAGCGTCTTTGCCATTATGCAGCATTGCAGAACTACATCAAACCTCTGCAAACTGTCCTCCAGGCTCCAGAACGGTTCAGAGGTTGCAGGCCAATAAAGTGGAACAGGAAAAAGAAATTAACGTGTAAAAACTTGAGTCATCCACTCGTATGCTTTAGGAGGGCTTTTTTTTTTTTTTTTTTTTTTTTTTTTTTTCAAATTTGCTGTTACTGATTAGTTCCCCCTCCAGCTTTACAGCAACTTTGTGAGTGTAACTGAAAATGCTGCACTACTTAGGTGGGTCATTTAATATGAAGAGCTCGAATTTAGGAGCTAGACCAGTATGAACAGTTAAGAGACTTCTGGTTTCAAGGCTTTTCACTTGCTGTCTGCTTTTTAAGGGCTGAGCCCCCCCCCCCAGGTCTGAATGCCTTGTTCCCTAGGCCGTACATTCCCATCCAAGGAAATAGCTGGGCCTACAAAAGGGGCTGGCCACCATGCTGTAAGATCCCATATGAACAGCCTTTGTGGCAGAGGCCACCCTTCCCCTCTTAGGTATGGATTGGAGGGCAGGAAGGGGCAGACAAGAGAAAGCAGGACATGGCAGGGTTAGGCCCTGACACCACCGCCTTTACCCGGCACCAGGTACAGCTGTGATTTTCAGCCTCTTTAGCCTCACCGTATCTTTATTTTCTAGCTCAGTGATTCTCAACTGGGATGCTGCAAAATTCACAAGTGACGGAGGGCGGTCTTGAGGCTAAAAAGGTTGAAAACCACTGCTCTACACTAAGTGACCAAACAGGTCCTGCTCTCTCTTAGAGCCAGCTACCATTAGTGTTGCTAATCCAGCTTTGCTTTGTGCTTTAGACATGGCAGGAAATGCTTACCTCCCGCTGTGCTTTTCGGGCTTGTTTCTCCTCTAACTTCCTCTGTTTCTTTGCTCCAATCTTCCCAGAGACCTGAACCTCCGGAGCCTCATCTCCATCCTCCTCCTCTGCAGCATTAGGGTACAGAGAAAAACAAAGAGAACCGTTAGCACACCTGGAAAGTCCAATTTGACCTATATCGCTACTTCTGAAGAAAAAGTACTGGCAGAGGAGGAGATGCACATGTCTCAAACAGGATTCATGAGAACGATGGAGAATAGTGGCTCTCTGAATTTGCCTAAGCCACAAAGATTTTACAGGGCAAACATAAGGAGCAGTGAAACCAGGGGTAAACTTTACTGAATCCTTTGAAGGAAGACTGCTTATAAACATTTTTTGCTTTCCAAAGGAACCGTGCATGTTTTATTATGTATGCAGAATGGTGTGCATCACTACATGGGCTTTTACAATTTAACATCCAGCTGCAGACATCTTTTTTGCTCCTATTACCTTCAAGCCTAATACAACGGTGATGTTGATTCTGAGGAAGGCATTGCGAGGTTCATTATTCATCAGCAATTTATACTGTGGTGTTACCGACCGTGACTCCCACAGCCGTCTTTTTGAGAGAGAGAAGAAAAGAAGTCCCTACAAAAAATGTAACAACTCTAGGCTCAAAGAACAGCCCGTACACATGCATTTGCCATGATTGGGAGCATAAACAAAAGCAGCCTCTTACCAGACCAGTTTCTGCACCTGTGCTAAATTCACAAATAAGTGAGATCTTCAAATGTGAACCTATTTTTGCACGCCTAAATCTCTGAAGAGCGGGCACTCAAAGAGCTGCTGTCCTGAACAAAGAATGGAAGGTGCCCTCAAGCATACCACATTGCTCCCCACTGTTTCTTTCACATTTATATTTGGTCTCTTTGGTACTCCTTCAATGTAAGCGGCATAGGCAGACCCCTGTGCTCAAGGACAGATTCATTCATTTCTAGGAGACTATAAAGATGCATGTGCTGAAATCAGACCGTAATGCAAGTATCCTCGATTGCAGGAAGCTTGCTAGTGGGAACTGGGGACCCTGCTTAAGCGTGAAACATTATGCACATCTGTGGTGCTGCTATTCAAGGTATTCACTGATCTATGAAGCTCTGAGCTCAGTTGGGCTGCTTGAGCGGCAGTCTTGTCAACTCTCACCATCTCTCAATGCCTGCTGTTTTTTTAAGCCCTGTGGTCCTGGAGTCAAGGGATGACATGTGGATTCAGACTATGTAAAAAGCTTCTTGCTCTCAGGTTGTAAAGAAAACACGCACCTCGGGCACATCTTGTAGGTTGGCAACCCAGGAGGCTGGGGGCAGAACATTTGGTATTCTTTAAAAGTCCCCTGAGTTTTGGGGTCTGACTCACAAATGGTGAATGTCTGGCACCGGTGAAACTGCAACAGTCCTTAGCGTTAAGTCTGACGGAGCAAATGATGGCGGGGCCGGGTTCAGTCAGGAGCCTGATTTCCTTGCTGCTCTGGCAGGGCTAAAGTCAGGCACGCTTTAGGGCTTGATGCAAGGAACAGCTCTTTTCAGGTGTTTGCTGGGGCAGATGAGGATTATTTCTAGGACTGGGATTTGAACACGAACTCCAAGGCATGTTAGACTGGGTCAAATATATACTATAACCGGCAACCTGCCAGGAGACATTTCTACTGAACGTCTTTCTGGCATGCATGGATTTGTTTTTCAAACAATTCAACTGATCTTTCACCCTGGAAGGTAATAAATGCGAGGCAGGCTTGCTAGCTCGGGGTTTCAGAGGAAGAGTGAAATCTGACTACTGAAATGATCAAAAGGGTTCCCCTGCCTCCTCCACACACGCACTGAAAGGCACGGGGCACTCAGCCTTGCACTCTGCAGCCTCTGCAGTTTTACCATGCGTAAAAATAATCCTGCTCCAAAATGCATCAGTAACACAGGGCTAGCGGGGAATGCACCCGAGGCAAAAACATCACTGGCAGCCCTTGGTGGAACTGTACCCTTTGATTCAGTTAGTGGCTATTAGCCTTTAGGAGGCACCATGTCAGGTGTTTTTCACCCCTCGCCCAAAAGTTCGATGCTCTCCCATTTAAATTTGTCTCCTAGTCCTCAGTGTCTGTCTATGAGGAATACCTGAATTGGAGGGTAGCTCATTCTAGCACTGCTTTTTAAACGGTGATGCCCCCCCACAACTCCAAGCAGCAGCGTCTTCCCCTCCCCAGCACCGTCAAAACCCCGACCCAGGACCGAGTAAGACGAGATCCTAACCTCTGACCAGTAACGTTCGCTCTCCCTCATCTGAAGCGATCCCACAAGACCCACTTCCTCAAGAGAGCAGCACATTTCTTTGAACATGCAGTTGCAAGCGCCCTCCCTCTGGGTCAGGGTTTTAAGCCCACGATTTAGCAGAGCACTTCAAATTAAGGATGAGCCAGGTGTTTAAATACAGGCTGAGCAGGACTTCGGCACATAATGAAGTGGCTTGCTGAATGAATGAACTATTAAAACATTAAAGGAGGGTTGGTGGTGGAGATGTGACCCGATGAAATCATCATCACAGCAACCATACCTGCCACAGGCAAACAAACAGTAAACTAATGCTCATTAGTT